CTTTCTGAATGTACCGGATTTTTCACAGTGATTAGAATCATAGAATATCAGGGTTGGAATGGACCTCAGGAAGTCATCTAGTCCAACTCCCTGCTCAAAGCAGGACCAATCCCCAACTAAATCATCCCAGCCAAGGCTTTGTCAAGCCTGACCTTAAAAACCTCTAAGGAAGGAGATTCCACCACCTCCCTAGGTAACCCATTCCAGTGCTTCACCCCTAGTGAAAAAGTTTTTCCTAATATCCACCCTAAACCTTCCCTACTGCAACTTGAGACCATTATTCCTTGTTCTATCATCTGGTACCACTGAGAACAGTCTAGATCCATCTTTTTTGGAACCCCCTTTCAGGTAGTTGAAAGCAGCTATCAAATCCCTCCTCATTCTTCTCTTCTGCAGAAGAAACAATTCCAGTTCCCTCAGCCTCTCCTCGTAAGTCATGTGCTCCAGCCCCCTAATCATTTTTGTTGCCCTCTGCTGGACTCTCTCCAATTTTTCCACATCCTTCTTGTAGTGTGGGGCCCAAAACTGGACACAGTACTCCAGATGAGGCCTCACCAATGTCGAATAGAGGGGAATGATCACGTCCCTCGATCTGCTGGCAATGCCCCTACTTATACAGCCCAAAATGCCATTAGCCTTCTTGGCAACAAGGGCACACTGTTGGTCCCCCCTAGGTCCTTTTCTGCAGAACTGCTGCCTAGCCATTTGGTCCCTATTCTGTAGCAGTGCATGGGATTCTTTTAAGTGCAGGACTCTGCACTTGTCCTTGTTGAACCTCATCAGATTTCTTTTGACCCAATCCTCTAATTTTTCTAGGTCCCTCTGTATCCTATCCTTACCTCCAGCATATCTACCACTCCTCCCAGTTTAGTGTCATCTGCAGTTTAGTGTCATTAGCATGTGTACTGTACTGGGGAAATGGAGTATGGGCCAACACCTTCAAACTAGGATGCCAAAAACACCTACAAATATGGTTTGATTTTCAGAGCTGCTAAGTATGAGCAGTATCTATTGACCTCAGTGAGAGTTGTGGGTGCTCAATACACATCGGAAAAAATCAGGAAACTTATTAGGTGCCTAACTTTAGGAACCCAAATGTGAAAGTTTTATTCAATATCTTCATCAATGAATGTAGATAATGGCATTGAGAGTACACTTTTAAAATTTGCTGATGATACCAAGCTGGGAAGGGTTACAAGTCCTTTGGAGTATAGGATTAAAATTCAAAATGATCTGGACAAACAGGAGTATTGGTCTGAAGTAAACAAGATGAAATAAGGACAAATGGAAAGTACTACATTTAGGAAGGAACAATCGGTTCCACACATACAAAATAGGAAATGACTGCCTAGGAAGGAGTACTGCAGAAGAGATAGAATCATAGAATCTCAGGGTTGGAAGGGACCTCAGGAGGTCATCTAGTCCAACCCGCTGCTCAAAGCAGGACCTAATCCCCAACTAGATCTGGGGGTAATAGTGGATCACAAGCTAAATATGAGTCAACAGTGTAACATTGTTACAAAAAAAAGCAAACATCATTCTGGGATGTATTAGCAGAAGTGTTGTAAGCAAGACACAAGAAGTAATTCTTCTGCCCTACTCTGGGCTGATTAGGTCTCAACTGGAGTATTGTGTCCAGTTCAGGGCACCACATTTCAGGAAAGATGTGGACAAATTGGAGAAAGTCCAGAGAAGAGCAACAACAATATTAAGGGTCTAGAAAACATGACCTATGAAGGAAGATTGAAAAAACTGGGTTTGTTTAGTCTGGAGAAGAAGGGGGAGGGGAAATGGTAACAGTTTTCAAATACATAAAAAGTTGTTACAAGGAGGAGGGAGAAAATTCTCCTTAACCTTTGAGGATAGGACAAGAAGGAATGCTTCAAATTGCAGCGAGGGTGATTTAGGTGGGACATTAGGAAAAACTTCCTGTCAGGGTAGCTAAGCATTGGAATAAATTGCCTAGGGATGTTGTGGAACCTCCGTCTTTGGAGATTTTTAAGAGCAGGTTAGACAAACACCTGTCAGGGATGGTCTAGATTAGGGGTTCTCAAACTGGGGGTCAGGACCCCTTAGGGGGTTGCAAGCAGGGCCGGCTCCAGGCACCAGCTTCTCAAGCAGGTGCTTGGGGCGGCCGTTCCGGACAGGGGCGGCAGTTCCAGGTATTCGGCGGCAATTCGGCGGACGGTCCCTCACTCCGCCTGGGAGTGAAGGACCTCCCGCCAAATTGCCGCGGGGGGGCGGCGTTGCGGGGTGTTTGGGGGGGTGCGCGGGGGTTTTTTTTTTTTTTTTTGGGTTTTGGCTGCTTGGGGCGGCCAAAACCCTGGAGCCGGCCCTGGTTGCAAGGTTATTACATGGGGGGTCGCGAGCTGTCAGCCTCCACCCCAAACCCTGCTTTGCATCCAGCATTTATAATGGTGTTAAATTAAAAACACTTTTTGTATATATTTATAAAGAGGGGTCGCACTCAGAGGCTTGCTATGTGAAAGGGATCACCAGTACAAAATTTTGAGAACTACTGGTCTAGATAATACTTAGTCCTGCCATGAGTGCAAGGGACTGGACCAGAAGACCTCTCAAGGTCCCTTCCAGTTCTATGATTCTATGTTTATATTTTAGCTGAACATAGCTTCTTGTGGGGCTACCTTAGTAAAAATGAACTCATTTGTCAAGATAATCCAAATATTTCAACACAAGACCAGATTACATATCTAAGCCGACAATCTATTTGGAATCCTAGCATGATATTAACAAGAGGAAGCCCAAGTGAACACTAAATACCATTGTATCTACCAAGAATCTCATATATTTTAAAAGGACACTGCCAAGATATGAAGATAAACTTCAGTTTCTTAAAAGCATTTTCCCCTCTCTGTTTAGAAAAACTGGTTACATATCCCCCTTCCGACACTTGCATGCATGTACCAACATGTTATTATAGGGCTGTTCCTGGTCACTTAGTTACACACTAGTTATTTATTGTCCATGGGGGCTGGGCTGCACACATGAGCTTCTTACTGCATGGTTAATCAAATAAAGGCAAGCAGGTTTTGAAGAATTTGTTTTCCAAACCACTACTCTCAAATCACAAACCCTCATCATACAGAATGACATAGTTTCTGGAAACATATGAGCAATAAAAAGGTAAGTCGCATTTTGGGCCAACCAATCTCAACAGTGGCCCTTTAATCAAATATGTTGCCTAGTTTTGGTAAAACAAGGCTCCGTTTCTATGACTTTATGTGTCATAATATCCTCAGTGTCTATTCAGTCAAGTCAAGGGAAGCAGTGTGTTGTACCCGGCATCCCACTGAATCCCACAGATCCACCTGGAATCTAGTAGCTGTGTAGGTTGTTACTTTACCTTAAAACTGGTAACAGAGCACTTAGAAATAAAATAATGAAACATCCAAGTTGTCTGAAGTCACTGATATCAAATCCTTTCATTAGGACAAAAAGAGGCAATAGCCTGTATTGTGTGGTTACCACGTTCATTCTGCTTCCAAACAAGTCTTATTAGATAATGGGGAAGCATGTCTGTATATTGGGGGAACAGACTCCAGCCAAAATCTCTTATGAATTCTATTGTATAGACAGATAATAGATAATGTCGGGTAGTTATTACAACACTACTTTACCCTTTCCCAAGGTGATATAGCTCCCTTCCTTAGTTTCATGTGCTACTTTACACAGAACTATGTGAAGAGAACTTAATTTATTATTTACTGCACTGAATCAAGCACACTGAAAGAGATATAGTCCTGATTTCTATTCACTAGATAGGTACAAATGAAAAAGCACGTTTGTAACAAACACTGAATCCATCCAATTACTGTTTCATATACAAATACTCTATCTATTCCTTAGGTAGCATTTGTGTTCAGTGATAAATTATGCTTATTTATAAGTTAGCAATCTTTATCAATGCTCAGCTGTCAGAAATACTCTACCTCTTAGAGGACTGCTCCATGGAAACAAGTCTGACAAAGAAGCACAGAGTAATACCACCGGGCATGGTGGTCCCTGGCAGGAACTGATGTGGTGACAAGGCTGGTGGGGAGACAGACTTGGTTAGCAGTACTGCGCCCTTGCCAACCTGTGTTGGCCAACCCCAGGGATTAACTCTAGGGAAACATAGTGCTGGAATACCTCTGTGCTTTCAGTCACAAGTACAGAGGAAAATACCTACTTGGCTTGTATACTGGCTATTAAAAATGTGGAGCTTGCCAATCACTAACCTCAGAAATGCTCATTTTCCAGTTTCAGGTGAAATTAGAGATCGATAAACCCATTAGGCAAACAATGCTGAATGCATGTTTCATCTACAATCTCTTCAAGTGAAGAATAACTTCTAAAGGTTTTGATTTTACTTATTTTTTTAAAAGATGATAGGATTTGCCATTCTACTGCAGATAAGAAGGTAAAAATCCCTTCTTGACCACTGGAGCATAATATCTGATGAGCAACTTAGCTCACCACCTGCAATTGTTATTAACAGTTATACAATCATCCAGCTATTTCTATGATGCTGCCACATCATCTGACTCTGAGCACCCATGGCAGTGAATTCCAGACTAACTATATGCCGTGTGATTTGTTCTAAATTGATTGGCTATTTATTTTACCAAGTGGCCACTTGTTCTTGGTATTACAAATATAGTGAAGTCAGGAGCTCACTACTGAAAAATTCATCACTGACATTTCTATAACTATTACATTTTTGGGATCATCTGCATCACTCAATGCTCTGAAGTTCCAAATGAGGTATTGATTTTCTGACAATTCTTTCAGCATACCTATTTAATTACAATAAAATGCAGTTTTCCCATTTGAAATGCAATGAATCCCTAGGCAGAATGCTGATGTGAATTGGATTCACTATATGGGCATAACAAGCCTAGAAACTCCAGTTGCATAAACTAGAGAGAATTATTTATGTAAGTACAGATGTAATATTGATACATTGTTGAGATTCAAATATTCACAACAACTTTTTATACCTGCAAGATCTTCCTTGGAGGAGACCAGTCGAGGAGAGCTGCTTCCTGGCTCAATTCTTAAGGATAATCTAGAAAACAGGATTTTAGACACATCAGTAGTGAAAGCATTCACTGAAGTTAGAAAGGTAAACAGAAGAAACTAATTATTTTATTTTAAGTAGGAAGTCTGGTTTGATCTGAAAGAACATTTATTTATTTAGCTTCATGACAAAACAGGTCCAGAATTCCTAAAGTAAACCTCTGCCCTTTACATCCACCTAAGAAACTAAGAGATATGTTTAAAATGTCAGTGTGAATTTATCTTTTATACTTTGTCAAAGCAAAAATATGAATCTGAAAATGCAGATACGAAAAGAAGACTGAACCATAGTGGGAAAGAATTCTTCTCTTTTTACATGTTGGGGGAAGGGGTCCTTACGTGATCCCAGAGAACTGTGCGGTAGGAAATATTTATTTTATAAATGTGTAAATTATGTGTACTTATGAAAATAAGGCTTATTTTGTGGGATTTGAAAGAGTTTGTAAGAAAATAATACTGAATAAATGTAAATGTTTAATAGTTGGTTTATGTATTTACAAGAATGTAATGTTAATTGTAACATATCACTCTGCCTGCCTGCAAGGAGGTCGTGGAAGTCACGGATTCCGTGACAGCGAGTGTGGTTGACCTCAGGGCCACCCAAGCAGCTGGCTCCGGGGCCTGCTGCTCAGGTGACCCCAGGGACAGCCACACCTGCCGCTGCTGGAGCAGCTCTGTAGCCAGCTGCTTGGGCGGCCCCGCAGCCAGCCGCCCCTTCTCCCCCCCCTCCCCCCCCCCGTAGGGCCCCCCATCCCCAACCAAAATTTAGTCAGGGATATTTATAGTATAAGTCATGGACAGGTCACGGGGCCATGAATTTTTGTTTATTGCCCGTGACCTGTCCATGACTTATACTATAAATACCCGTGACTAAATCGTAACCTTATTTATAATGTATTTATTGCTGTAGTATCTCAACACTCCTCCTCATGTCCACTTTCTTCTGTTGCATCTACCTCCTGCCACCTCTTGTTTAACACATACACCCCTCATCCTGGCACCCACAGATCATCTGTTCTGCACCAGTATTTTTGAGAGGAGAATTTGAACAGGACTGGAATTTTACTTGGGGTATTTAAATTCATACAAACAACATTACTCATCTTAATTCTTTAGCATATGGCAAGATTGGGGGGTATAATGAAGAGCAGCTGCCTCACCAGCGACCCACCCAAAACAAAGTGCTGTCACATCAGACAAGACAGCCTCAAATGATCCACAGCATCACTCCAGAGACAGATTATGCTGCACCTGTTTGCAATGGGTTGTGCTGTTATCAATATTCAAAGGGCAATTCCAGGGGTTACATATTGACATAACTTGGTTCAATAATGTATCTGGTGCATCAGAAGGCAGAATGGACAACATACCACCACCACTGCCTACAAACGTTACATCCCAGAAATGCTGGTTTTCATCTCTGACACACAATTCAAGAATGCTCTTATTGCAACCAGTGTCACACTGGATTTTCTAGAGTGCGAAGACAACAACATTTCTATTCCAAAATTCTTTGCTGCTCTGCTGCAAAAAAACAGTGCAATGGTGAGGGCCAGTGTCCAGAGAAATGTTCTTTAATGGAAAGCATCTGTCTTATCACACTGACACCAGGTCAATGGACAATTATACAGGCGTTAGAAAATAGTGTAATAATATAAATATCCAGGCAAGATATATGCTTCTTTATTAAAAATAAGGTTAATATGATATCCGGGAAAGGACACAGTGAATTATAGTGAAACCAGGGTAATGACAGAAAGAGAAATGTATATCCACAAAATGCACAACTAACAGTAGAAGATAATGGGATTTAAGGGAAGTTGTTTGGTCTCCATTGTAAAAGTCTGTAATCCTGATCAGTCTTTTATTTAAAGGTTGATACATCAGAGGTGAAATTTTTTCTTAGACCAATTCAAAAATATATTTTGATCTACCCCAACAGAAACATCAATATGAAAAAGCCAACTTTGGATCAAGTTATTAGACTTGGATAAGGAGCCTTATGCCTGAAATATCTAGGCACCTGGCTTCCATGGGAATGACTCTGGCATTATAAAATATGGAGAGTTGCAATTTAACTCCAAGTTTAAGGTAATCCTACAACAGTGATTCAGTTTTCAATTTTAAGTGGATCTACAACCATCCATGGAAGACAGATGACCCTTGATGAGGATTTTATGCTAAGAAGAATGAAAAGAATGTTCTGTAAAGAACACGCGGACAACAGGGTCCAGAACCAAGACATGAGACATCACTCTAAGATTAGAGATGTTACTGAAGCTGGCAGACAAAGTTCCTCTGGTGATGGTGTATATCACAGCGGTAATGACACTGTGTTACATGGCGCTTTACAGATTATAGATGAAATCAAGGAATGCAGAACGGTGCTGAAGCAGAAGAATGTCCAAGATTCCGGAAGTAAATTGCTGGCTAGTTAAGTGATGTAAGACAGAAGGTTTTGGTTTTGTGGAATATTGGTCCATCTTCTGTGTAGAGAGGGGGCTTCACAGTTTGGATGGCCTCCATCTCAGCAGTAGGAGAACCAATTTCCTGCGGGACAGGCTGGGAGCAGTGGGGACAAAAAAACCTAACCTGGCTTCAAGACTGAACTTGATAAATTTATAGAGGGGCTGGTATGATGGGACAGCCAACAATGGGATGTGGCCCATTGGCAACTGCCAGTAGCAAAAATGCCCAACGACTGGAGATGGGACACTGGATGGGCAGGACTCTGAATTACTACAGATAATTCTTTCCCAGGTATCTGCCTGGTGGGTCTTGCCACATGCTCAGGGTCTAACTGATGGCATATTTGGGATGGGGAAGGAATTTCACCCCGGATCAGTTTGGCAGAGACTGTGTGGGGAGGGTGGGGTTGCCTTCCTCTGCAGCCTGGGTCATGGGTCATTTGCAGGTTTAAACTAGTGTACATGGTGAATTCTCTGTAACTTGAAGTCTTTAAATCATGATTTGAGGACTTCAGTAACTCAGCCAGAGGTTAGGGGTCTATTAAAGGAGAGGATGGGTGAGGTTCTGTAGCTTGCAATGTGCAGGAGGTTAGACTAGATGATCCCAATGGTCCCTTCTGACCTTAAAGTCTACGAGTAGTCAGGAGGGTGTTAAACTAATAATAAAAGAGGAGGATAAAAAGAGGAAACAAAAGAGCATCCATTTACCACAAAATAAAGATATTGAGAACGTAATTAATCAAGACACCAGTGGACATGAAGAAAAGAAACATTTTATTTAATTATATACCAAAGCTAGGAGCATGGGTAATAAAGAAGAAAAATTGGAATTATTCAATTATGAGCATAAATTTGACCTACTTCGTATTACTGAAACTTAGGGGGAAGATCTGCATGATTGGAATGTTAAAATCAATGGTTATATCCTATTTAGGAAGGATAAAATGAAGAAAAGGGATGGAGGAGAGACACGCTATGTCAAAAATGATTACCTGCTTCCAACTCACTGACAGCTTGGGAAGAAAATGATCTTAAATGCTTATGGCTCAATGTCATAACAGATAAAGCACAAGATGAGATACTAGTTGGTGTCTGCTACTGACCACCAAATCACATTAGAGAACAGGATGACGGTCTTCTTAAGCACCTACCTATAATGTGTAGGTAAAAAAAAAAGTTATCATGGGGGACTTCCAACTGAGTGACACATGCTGGAGGTCCCATGCTAGCAGTATTAAATCATTGTTGCAATTTCTACCTAATATAAATGATCATTTCCTAACTCAGAAAACGTTGCATCCAGCATGGGTGAATTCTATATTAGATCTCATCTTGAGAGATAAAGGATTGATCCTGGAACTAAAAAATAGTGGTAGCTTAGGTACAAGTGATCATGACTGGATCACACTGTAATGTGAAAATAGAATATTGTCCAAACCAGTAAAATATATACTTGATACATTAAAAGGGATTGATTTCACAAAGCTAAAAACAATTACGAGCCAGATCAGTTGGGACAGAGAATTTAAACAGAAAAATGTGAATGATAATTGGGAACTGTTTAAGAACATTTTACTAGATGCCCAAAAGCCACAATTGAGAAAGAAGGCCATACTGGTTAAAAAAAAAAAAATCAACCCGATTTAGTGGGCAAATGAAAGCAGTGTGACAGACCCAGACCGGTTGGGTCCAGGAGTCTGGTTAAAAGGAAAACACACTGGACAAATAGTTTTCTGTTTCCTGAGTGACCAACCTCCCCCACCCCTACACAATCGCTCCCTGAGAAGGAAGACAGGGACTAAAGAGGGTTCTTACACCAAACCTGTTGACTAGCCGATGATGAAGGTGACTCAGTAAGCTGTTACCCTTGCCTCTAGGAGGGTCACAACAAACCTCTGAGGTAAACCCTAACCGCCTAGAAGCGTAGGACCCCACCAAGGCAAAGCCAGTGCTCTGCCACAGCAGCTATAAAAAAAATTACATCCCCATAAATAACAAATGGAAGAAAGGGGAAGTTGAGAGTAATGAATATAAATCAGTTGCTAGGAATTGTAGAAAATTAATCAGAGAAGCAAAAGGACACAAGGAGATATCTATGGACAATAGGGAGCTTTTTAAAAAGTATATTAGGAACAAAAGGAATCCTAAAAATGGTATTGGTCTAATACTAGATAGAAATGGTAGAATTGTCAATAATAATGCAGAAAAGGCAGAAGTATTCAATAAATATTTAAGAACATACGAACGGCCATACTGGGTCAGACCAAAGGTCTATGTAGCCCAGTATCCTGTCTTCTGACAGTGGCCAGTGCCAGGTGCCACAGAGGGAATGAACAGAACAGGTAATCATCAAGTGACCCATCCCCTGTCACTCATTCCCAGCTTCTAGCAAACAGAGGCTAGGGACACCATCCCTGCCCATCCTGGCTAATAGCCATTGATGAACCTACCTAGTTCTTTTTTGAACCCTCTTATAGTCCTGGCCTTCACAACATCCTCTGGCAAAGAGATCCACAAGTTG